GTGACCCAGAGGCAAAACAGAGTTATGTTTCCATGTGCCATAGCTGGCTCTCAGGCAAGGTGACATTGGGCCTTAGATAGCTAGAGTCATACTTTAATTATGAAATGATTTTTCCCAAAAAATTATGTAGAATGCCTCTCGACAACGTGAACAGCAGAAGTCAGCACCCAGCAGCACAGCTGTATCTCTCAGTGAGTGGCTTCTTGGAAGCAAACCTGCTAGCAGTTGCCAGGCTCCTTTCTTGCCCAGCACCAACCCCCAGGACTGGTTGAGCCAGAAACGAAGCTTGGAGAACAGCCAGGTGCGTTGCTGCCCTTATGGTTTCTGAGGTCCATGTAGTAGTAGTCGATGGAGTTGATGACTAACCAGTAGTTTGTTTAGTTTTTGAGCATAATCTGGAAACATGTTTTCAATAATTAAATAAAAGAATTTTAATTAAAAGAATGACATCTCTACTGTGGATAGGAAGTTTTAAAAATAGATTTTTTTCCAGCAATATAACATGAATATATTTGTCACTAATTTCTTTAAAATCTTCAACTAAAGTTCATTGATTGGCCAGAACTTAAATTCTTATTTTTCTGGATATAAATGAAATTGCCTTAAACATTTAAAATTATTTGTGCACATCTTTGATCTCCATTCCTAGATGACAGTTCTACCTACCCTTTAAAATTTGATACATATTGCCAGTTTGGCTTTCCCAGAAGTTAGGAACAGATATTTCCACCATCAGAGGATTCATTGCCTCCACTTCATGAAACTTTTTAAATCAAAAAACCACAAGTATTTTTCTTACTTTGAATTTTATACTTTTCAATTTTCTAAAACTACAGAAAGTAGAATTTTTATGTAGTCATATACATATTTTAATAACATAAACAGAAATTCCTTGTCTCTTGGCTTTACTATGTACTTACATTTAGAAATATTGGGCAAGACAGTAAATATGCAGACAGAAGCTCCAAGCACTCATTATTATTCTGGCAAACTAATGCTGTGCATTTCCTGTGTAGACATCTGCCAGAGCCTGCAGTGTCTTCAGTGATGTCTGGGGCAACCTACAGGGCTTAGAAAACTGGCTGCTCAAGAGTCAGCAACAAGAAGTTCCTGGAAAACCAAGTTCCCCAAAGTGTAAGAGCCATTCTACCACAAGTTCCTTCTCCATTAAAGTTGAAAAGGTTGGCAGTCTAGAGAATCTTGATCAAAATGACTTGGGCCTGTCTGATTGGCTGGCAACTCCCCAGGAGCCATTCAAGCTGGAGAAGCCTGAGAATGGCAGCCATGAAGCCAGTGAGAAGTTTAAGCTCCTGTTCCCAGTGTTCCAGGAGACATACAGTGTGAGTGATTGGCTTGCCCAGCCTGACTCCTGTACCAACTGTCAGGGCAACCAGCCCAGAGGTGTGGAAATTGAAAACCTGGGCAATCTGAAGTGCCTGAATGACCACCTGGAGGCCAAGAAACCACTGTCCACCGCCAGCATGATTACTCAAGATTGGCTTGTCCAGAACCATCAGGAACCATACAAAATAGAAGAAGTGTGCAAAGCCAATGAGCCCTGCACAAGCTTTGCAGAGTGTGTGTGTGATGAGAATTGTGAGAAGGAAGCTCTTTGTCGATGGCTTCTGAAGGAGGGAAAGGATAAAAATGGGATGCCTGTGGAAGTCAAATCTGAGCCTGAAAATCTTGAGTCCCTCGATTCGTGGCTCTGTCCTCCTAGAAAAGAGATAACAGAACAAGCTAAGGCACCAAAGGCATTTGGTCCTTCTAGAATTACAGATTCCTTCCAGATCCTAAAAAACAGCTCCTTGTCAGAGTGGCTTATCAGGTCCTCATGCAAAGAAGGGAGCCCCAAGAAAGTGCCAAATACTGAGGATAAGGCTGGCAAACAAAAGCTTAAAAGCCCCATGACCACTTCCTGGTGCTCCTTTAACACTGCTGACTGGGTCTTGCCTGGAAAGGTGGGGAACCTCAGCCAGTCTTCTGAAGACAAGTGGCTCCTTCGAAAGAAGGCCCAGGTAAGCAGACATCCAAATTGCCCTTGAGTTTTACTTTCTAAATTCCAAATCTTACAGAAGGCCCAGATCCTTGAACATGTTAAATGTTATTATTTGGCTCGGGTATTAATTTTGATGCCATGTTACCAACAGGAGGAGGATTTACAGTTATTCAAGCTGAATTATTTGTGTGCATTCCTGGTCCCCAAGCCCCATCCTGCAGGAAGTAAAAAACCTGGCCTGTTTTATTGCTGTTTATAGAAAGGACTTAGGAAAGAAATAGCAATTGCCGCCTTTGCTCTTGGTTATTAGAGAGAATGGCCAACGTTTACATTATTCTTTATAGATACTATTTGGAGTTGAGTCAGTCTTGTGCCACCTGGTTGTCATGAAGCAATCCACCGTTTTTGTCTTCCTGCAGGAAGTATTTCTTAATTCACCCCTACAAGAGGAACATAACTTTCCCCCAGACCGATTTGGCCTCCCAGCTGTTTGTGATCTCTTTGCCTGTATGCAGCTTAAAGTTGATAAAGACAAGTGGTTGTATCGAACTCCTCTACAGGTGGGTACCTGCCAACAGTGCAAATGCTATAGAGAGCTGTCCTTACATACGATTTCATGCTTTACCCACTGAACCGTACTTCTGTTAGCTATATGTGATGTCAGGAGAGGAAGAGCTCCTAAAACTGCCATGTATTTGAACTTGCTCTGTGACCAGGCATACTGAAAGTGACCTTTCAACATGTAATGGTCAGGAATTTTCATAGCCCGTGTAGATTGTAGTAGTTTATTGAGAAATGAGTCAGAAGAAGGTGGAGAGAATTTGCTTTTCTCTGGTGAAGTGACTTCTTGTCTGTGGGCTTTACAGATATGAAGGAGTAGACTGCGACTCCAGAGCTTCTTTGCCGATCATCTCATCTGTGAGCTGTGGCTGCTTCTCCATTGTGTTCCTGCATCTAACCAGCCAGCTTAGTTCCTTTTCTGCCTGAATTTGGACTAGCCAAGAGACTTCATCAAATTATGGGCCACTTTGTTATAGAGAGTATTTGTTGATGCTGAGGTGATTCCGTTCTCCTCAGGGTTTGCCCCCACACTAGAAAGGCAGCGTTGTAGGGAACAGGTCTCTCCACAGCTTCCATGGCTCAAGATTGGGTTATTAATGGAAGTGTGTAAACACTGTAGTCCCCAGAGTGAAATGTTTCCGTAACCGTGTGTTCAGCATTCTAAAGCTAGCAAACTCCTGAGCCTTTTGATGGCCCTTGACATGCTTCTCTTGCTGTGGGTTTTCTTGAGTTAGTGGTCTGAAATGATTATTCTGATACAGCCTGTTGCACACAAAAATTAACCCTACCAATATAGTAAGTAGTGTTTTTTCCTTACCACATCGTGTTACTAATAATCTTGCCCATGTGTGACATTAACTGGCAAACACTTTAGCCTACATGTCAACCTTACATTATTTTTTCCTTCACTGGAAAGAAATTCATCAAATGAAAATTTTGCCTTTATCACTTTCCCTGTTACTGAATTATCCAGTGAGCCCTTAGAGGACTCTGCTCTTTCAAAAACATTTTCAGGTTTGTACAAAACCAGCCCCTTTTCCAATATTCTACACACTTACAGGCTCTAAAGAGCCCTAGCTAGAAATATAGTACTTGAACCATTCCCCACCTTAGGGATTTCTGGTGCATCCTGTGTAATTGAAACCTGAGCTTAACACCTGGTGCTTTTGACTAGGGGTGGTCAGTGTCCTATTAATGCAAACACAGCATTCCTGTACCTCCAAAAGTACAATGCAGTGGCATTTGAGTGAACAGGCAGTTTCAACACTTGTGCCTTGGAGTGCTTCCTGAAGCTTTATGGATGAAACCACTGGTTGTTTTCTCCATATTCTTAAAATCGTTTAAACGTTTCTCTGTAGGAGATGAGTGGGTTTTATAATTGTGAGATCTTAGCTGCCTTCAGGCTTTGAAACTATCAAGCCTCTTAACTGCCTGTGTTACTGGAAATACTTTGAGGAAAATATCAGTCTCACAGTGACACTGTCATACAGCTCCTCTACAATCCTTTGAGCCACAGCTGAAAAAAGCCTCTGTTTGTGATCCTTCCAGAGATCACTGAGAATTATAATAAAGGTGGTGGGTAAAAACTTACAGAGCCTTTCCAGTATCTTAGTTGCAACAAACTTTGTAGTTTCATTTTTGAGCTCTAACACACATTTTACACCCTCAAAATGTGATTTACATTAATCAGTATGCTAATGAGTATGTAAAACATTCTTTTGCACTGATGTATTTTATACCTCCCTCCATTAAAAGCGTAACAGCCACACCAGTTGTGTATTTGTACAACTAGGTTAAAAATGTTTATGCAATACACTTGGTTAGGAATACAGCCAAGAAGCAATTTAAACATAAATGGTATATTCATTATAATTCATGAATTCTTAAATTAGTCAAGAATAGATGTATTACTGCTTCCATTTTCAGCCTTTGCCTGAAAAGTCCACATCTGCTCCTTTTACACTGGGCTCCCAGCAGCTGGGGCTCAGTGCTTTGCCACAGGTTTCCCTTTACTAGACGCATCCAAGAAAGCCCCAGTTTACTTTCCCAATCACATAGACAGCGGTGATTTATCTTAAGTATATGAGTACCCTGCAGTACTAGTATATGTGATTAATTTCATCTTAGGGATAAGAAAACTGATTCAGAAAGTAAACATTCTGCCCTTATTTCCTTGAGCTGCTTGGGAAATGTCTAATTCCTCATCAGTTCCAAGGAGGAGCAAGTTGTTGCATACAAAATGGAGTGAGGTGCTGGACACACTGTTCTAACACACTACACTAATGATGAAATTTCCTGAGGTTTCTGTCAGTTCCATAGGTAAAAATCATCCAAGAAGTTACTGCTACCAGTAGCCCTTCATTTCAGTACAAACAAAATGCCAAGAGTAACTTTACACCCAGATATGTTTTCAAATTTAGACACTGTGTTTACATTGGAGTTATGACTTTGGTTCTATTTTCACCCTTTATTTAAGAGTACAGGGCAATGTTACAGTTTCAGATCATTAATGAACAAATTGCGTGATAAAGGACTGACAAGCATGACCTGAATTCTGGGAGTTGAGTGGCTTTCCAGTTCAGGGTAGGGGAGAGAACTTGTAGGTGCAAGGTCAGCTCCAAAGGAGAAGAGAACCACATTACTCAGTAAGCCACCAAGGTTTGGGCTTCAGCTCACTGAGGGCAAAAAGGACTGCCGGTCCTGGTTATCCATGTTATCCATGATCATCTTCATCACAGTAAATCAATCTTCAATTTTTCAAGCTAATTGTAGACAGGAGAAAGTAAATCCAGACTGACTTATTAACTGGATAATTAATACAAGTGTCCTCCAGGAGTTGGCAGAATCTTCAGAGTGATTGGTGGAGCAAGGAGCCTTTCATGTGCTCCCAGTTGTTATACAGTGCATACAGGCTGGTAAGTGTTAGGCCTGCCAGACCCCCTCGTGCAACTCCTCGAAGCCCACCTAGGAGAGAAGGAAAAGGGGAATAAAACAATCTTGTATTACACAACACACTATCCTATTACTGAAGGGCTACATAAAGAGTATGGTACAGGGAAAAAGACATGGAGACATTTTTAAAGAATATTCCATCCCAAACAGGAATGTAAGTTTTTAAAGTAACACAACAAATGAAGACTTTAAGTCTAGGAGATAAATTCCCCAAACCATCTGTGTACTACATACATGTTCTGATAACTTCATATTCACAATTTCTCCATAGTTTTCAGTGTGTACCAAAATCATGAGGAATAAAGATTTCTTGATTTCTCTCAAACCAACTTGTAACTACAGCAGTTACAGATAAGTCTCATGCTTATTATTGTTGAGGTTCCAACTAGTCAGTCACTTCCTGCTAATAAGGTTTATACTTCACTAGCAGTCAGTGAACTTAGGCTGTAATATAAACAAGGTGAAACCCTATGTGAAAAACAGCCTTTGGACTCTGGACAGGGTCCTCCAAATATTAACTCTGAGGACTCAAGAAGCAGTAGTAATAAAATGGCTCTAATCAAGCTCTGAATTATGGCTGATGGGACATTCTCCAAGGATTAATGAGCAATGAGCCACCTCACATTATCAGATTGGCTGGAAAAAGTTCAAGAATTAGACTTAATTCTGCTTCGACAGTAAAATTTTTATGTGGAAAAAGATTTCATTTAAAATGCAGAAATAAGAATGTTTCAGTCACTAGAAAATAATCCCCAACTCTAGTATGAGGAAGTGACATATTTCTCAAAGTTTGTCTATGGTTATGTCACAGTCATAACTATTATGTGGTAAAGAGAAACCAAACTAAAAAAACTCCACAGGAGGGGGTTCCCAAAGAAACTTCAAAAAATGTGATATATCTTGAAGCTACACAAACAAGGAAGGATCACAGACTAGTGTTTTGTCCAGGTCATGTTTTAGGAAGACAAAGGTGAGGTGGATCCATAGTGGTGGAGGTTCCTTACTGCCATGCCAGTCAATTCTGCAAAACACAGCAACATTGCTGTACTGAAACACTTCAGAACTAGCCATTTCTCATTAAGTCTACCAGATGTCTCTGGCTGATAGGAGAGCACTCCTTACAGGAATCTCTCCACTCTGAAGACTTCTGATAGCTGTCCTGCTTAGCTTCTACTGTGAAATGCCACAGTTATCTGTCTTGAACACCCAAACAAGCTTCTGGTATCACCCATAAACAAGTGTGAAGTGTGTGGGATGGAGAGCAAAAACATTTAAAAAGTCTCACAAATCAAAGTAAATGGAGGTTACCTTCTTGCAGTCCATATCATCTCTATCATCTTGTTGAATTTAGACAGTAGGCATGGCAGTTTAATTTCTAATGTATTCAGTGTGGTTGAAACATAAACAATTAGAAAATAATGTACACTCAAACTGCTAACTTAAAATAGTGTCCTCAGTTTAATAATGATTAATGTCATGCCTTTTGACTAGCAAGTCAAGAAAAAAGTTGCAGGCCCAGAAGTGAACAATAATTAGACCAGATTCCGAAAAATGGAAGAAAATAAACTGAGGCTCAGGAGAATAAACAATCAAAGGTATGGACAACAGCATCATATCTCAGTTACTAGACTTAAAACTTTACATGTAATGAGAGTTCTCTCAAGCAGGCAGCCAAAATGCGATGTTCTGAATTCCATTCTAAATCAACACGAAACACAGCAATGGCCCTTGTGCCCCCAGCCGATGTTAAGTTAGTAGAAAAACGACAGGGAAAATAAATGAAAGCACTCTGACGCTCGGAACCCTTAGTCCATGACAGATCCATATAAAGACTACCACAAATCACTTTTTCCAGCTGAGCTTTCTTTCCTTTGAATGTCCTAAGAACATGGTTTCTACCAGGCCACGTGGTAGAATTTCCACACAAGTTTTCAGCGGTCAAATAAGCTTCCATGGAAATCCTCTGGCAGAGACATTAAGAACCCCGTAATGACAATGGGATGTATAAGGCTTTACAATCTTTGGAACAGCAAGGGATATTAAATACCCCTTAGGAAGAATTTATGCCCCTCAAAGCTTTCTATTTTTTAAGCAAAATGAAACAAAAAATTAGTTCAAATCAATGACAGACATTAGTTCTTTAAAGACTAGAAAAGTTTTCTCTAGCAGAAAGACACCAAACATCTGCAGTGTCTGATTTACTCACCACATAGTTAATCCTAACTCAAAGGCAGCCTTTTATCATACCTTAATTTTACTCTTTCCCTTAATTCCAGGGCTTCCCAAGTGGTTGACTGGTAAGTTTCAGGGCCTCTGCTTTAGTCTTTCTCTAATAAAATAACTTTTGGTCAACTAAGCACAGCAAGTTGATCAGCAAATATACTTGCTTTGAAAACAGAGTAAGCAAATAAGACCAATGGTCAATCTCTATAAAGCAAAACAAACAAGGTCTGTGTTTCAGTATTACCTCCTAACTTTTGCACCCTTACACAACTCTTCCAGAGAGACAGGGCCAAGTATTACATTTTCTAAACGTGGAAATAATGCCCAGAATACTTAAGTGCCTTGTTTTGGGGATATAAAGCTAACTATAAAAATGACAGTTTACAACAGAGACTAGCAAATCTTTCTTACAAAGACCAGATAGTAAATATTATTAATCTATGAGGCTCAAAAGCTATTATATAGGTACTTATATACCACTGAACATGTGACTGTTTGAAAAAGATAAAACAATTCTTGGCTTTCAGATAGTGAACAGGTGGCTGCTGGCCCTGCTTTAGAGGAACAGGCTTAACTTACATATTGAGAGGGCTACCAAACCCTGTCAGTGGTAGAATGTGTGCTTAGCATGTGAGGCCCTAGGTTCAATTCCCAGAACGAAAATATATACCCCCCCCAAAAAATTGTGACATAATACACAGAACAAAGTTTATGATCATAACTACTTTCAAGTGTACAGTTCAGTGGCATTAAGAATATCTGCACTCTTTCTGACTGGCTCATTTAGCATAATCTCCTTAAGGTTCATCAATGATATGTCAGAATTTCCTTCCTTTTTAAGGCTGAAATAATATTCCATTGTTTGTGGGTACACATTTTGTATATCCATCCATAAATGGATACCTGAGTTACTTCCACCTTCTGGCCACTGTGAATAATGTTATTACAAACATCAGTGAACTCAACATCATTCACATATAAAGAATAATTAAATGAAACTAAGAGTTGGATCAAAATGGCCTGGATAAAGATCAAATACCACATTCAGCTCTAAGACAGAAATGGAATTAACATTTATTGAGTTACGATTATAGTTTAAAAAATAATTTTCTGAGACAGAATATTGCTACATTGCCCAGGCTGGCTTTGAACTTGTGATATCCCTGCCTCTGCCTCCCAAGTAGCTGAGATTAGAGGCATGCATCACCACACCCAGCACAATTACACTTTCACCAATAAGCACTTAACAGTAATTTGTTTCATTTTAAATGTATCAACCAGTAAAGTGATCACATGCAAGGTTGATGGACGAGCACAACAGTCACATAACTTTTCAAAAGATGACATTAAAAAAGTGACATTCTTAAAATTTTCATCACATTTTTTAAAAAAATAGTTTAACTGCCTATGTTCTACTCATGTCTCTGAATGGCCCCTATATTGGTTGAGTTGCTTTATGATACATTAGCTGAGTTACAGTGTTTTTAGTAATTAATCCACCACAAAGAAGGTAAGAAACCTCAAAAGAATCATAAAATCCAAGTTTTCCTAAGATATTTGAGAATACGAGGTTTGCTGTATAAAATGTACTACATATGGAAATTTTCAAGAGCTCTAACAATACTTCTTACAAAACATGCTGGTACATGGACTCACACAAATAGTGTGTAGATACCTTTCATACCCATAAAGCTTTACCTTGGCATAGAAAAATCTTGTTTAAAAAAACCTGAAAATGCTTTCACACTGCAGGATTTAGGATGAGATAAATTTAAAACTTAGCCTAAGTGTGTCACTCAGCCAACAAGAATTTGGACCAAACTATGTTAAGTTACATTAGAATTTTAAAACTCAAGATTTCATACAAAATATGGAATTCCATCTTTTGAATAAATGGAAGACATCACGCCCATTATGCATAGTGGCACTGGTGCTTCTAGCCAATGAAAGGTCTTCCTACAGGAGGTAGGCTGCTGTGGTGTTGCCTATTACAGGCAGTCCTGAATGGGAAAATGCACTAAATTACTTCTAATGTGAGATGTCAACAGTTACTGATAAGATAAAAAGGGCAGAATATTTGATATTATCAAAAGAAATGGGAAGGGTCAGGGATTTAGCTCATCGGCACTGTGCCTGCCCTGCAAGCACAAGGTCCTGAGTTTGATCCCCAGTACTACAAAAAAAAAGAAAAGAAAAACAAATGGGAGCTTAAATTTCTGTCAGGATTTCTCTGAGGTACTAAGTGAGTACAGCAGGAGACCCTTCTAATTTTAATTATAGAGAAGAAAATTCTTGGCTCAGAAGAGAAAAAACACAGAAGAAAAACTTAATTTCATGTCAAATGAAAAGTAGATTTCAATTTCCATTGCAATTGTGGAAGTGAATAATCACAGGAAGTAAATAACTGCTGACCCAGAATCCCAACCTCTGTACACAGTTTTCTGGTTTAATCGTTTAGCTCAACACACTGAAATCACACTAACAAAGGCAAATCAGTGTCTTTATATTAATTTCTGGTTTTAAATAAATCTAAGAAAATAGACCATGGAAATTAATTTTGTGTGGCAGGAATAAAAATATAACTTTAACGTTCAGATTCAAGGAGTTGGAAAAGAGCTTCTTAGGTACTCTCTTTGAATACTGCAAGCATAAACCATTAAGGAAAAAACCATTAACCCTAGGGGAATGGCTCATTCCAACGCCCAGTGTACTCTTCAAAAACAGAAATCCAAAGAGGGGGAAAAAATAAAGAAAGGAGCTCAGACTGAAAGCCTCAACATGGAATGTAAGAAGCTATTTTAGTGGAAAGATCACTAGGAAAAATACTAAGAAAATGGGTGGTTGTCAGACCAGAGAGGCTAGGTTAAAAGAACTCTGATAACATGATTTTAAAACAGGTCTCATATTTCTTTAATGAACTATGCAAATGTTTTTTCAAAACATGTGAAATGTCACTATGGGATTCCCTGGGGGATATGAGATCCATTTAATGATGACTATGTTCTACCTGAACAAGAACAGCTATAGTTTCCCATAATCAATTAGCTGAGAGCAGCCTAGTCACACATTTTCAGGAAACAAGTTCTCAAAGGCAAAAGTTATTAGTGATCCCTCCTTGCCAAAACCTTGACAAGTTAATCCTATGTTTTCCGTAAGTCAGTTTATAAAAGCAAAGTAAGTAAAAGTAAAGGAATATACAAGTCCAGTTTTTCAAATTAAGCAACAACCATCAGCTTTATTGAAATGCTATTTATCAGTGTCTTAACTGAATGTACTAAAATGTCACCTGCCAAAGAACCTCTGGATGACATCTTTATTACCACCATTATTTTTTCCAATAAGTAAAATTCCACGTAGCATATATAAAAAGTAGAACGATAACTGTCATAACATTTAATAATTTTAACAAATCAGTTAAAGCACCAACTCAATTAAAAATAAAAGAAATGATAATTTCAAAGGAAAATACAAATAACCACTGACAAAGGAAAATGCTCAGTCCCATAAACAACCAGGAAAAACCAAAGTGAGACATTTAGATAATTATTTTTAACCAAGTGACACTTCATACTAGCAAAGCTAAGTAAGTACTTGGAAAGGCATTCTGGCATTAGTTTTTAGCATTTTAAAAATGTCGTTTCCTTAAGCTGGATCTCAGCACAAAACTATGTGTATGTACTATGGTGTTTGAGAGATGCCTCAAGAAGACTGTATCTGAAGGAAGACAGAAAGATGGAGGTGAGGTGCATGTCTGGAAAGACTGTTCTAAGAGGGAGCAGGAAGAAAAGAGGCCTGAAATGAGAGTAAAAGGCAGTTAAGGAGTTGAACCTGGAGCCATCAAAGTGGCAAAACAGCAAATCATACAGAGGACTGTCTCACAGGCCACTGTGAAGATAGGTTAACTGGACTTTTGATTACATCCTACCTTCTAAATACAATACTGGCATTTCCATTTACTCATACACCTGAAAGTGTCTATTGTAACTTCCACCTTTCTCCTGAATAGAGCCCTAGGACACATATTAACTCTAAGTTTACAAACCCTCGAAAACTTTCCTAAGGTCTTCAGAGGGATCTAGGAATCCTACCACCACTCACAGAAAACAACTACTCAAATGGCTAGGGATCACTGGCAAAAAAGAATTCTCAAAGGACAGAGTACTACAGGGAGTCAAAGACAACTGAGATATTTCAGTGAGTTCAGCACTTCCTGGAAAAGACTGGGAGGGACGATGGTGGGTGTGCTGCTCAGTCACATTGCTACTTCCACAGTACCACAAGACAAAGATAGCAAAGCAGGGAAACAACCTTTTAGCAATCCAATCATCTTCCCCTGTGCACATCTGCCTTACCATCCCCCCATTTCATCAGATGTGACATTCACCACCTGTCACTTGTCTTGAGACTACATCACAAACCTTAAACTTCTGTAGTAGTATTTTCCTTTGACCATTTTGATTTGCTTCAACCTCCAATCTATCTTATCTACCCAGTATTTCTAGCTTAATCTCCCACAAGAATGACTCCAGGACTCCCTGTCCAAAACAGAGGGCTTTGGAGTCTTGTATACGCTGGGAGTGTCCAAGCTTGGTTGTCTGAGGACATTTTTATTAATATACTTTTTAACTGACACACAATAATTACAGATATTTATAGGGTACTGTGTGGCATTGTGGTCCACACATATAGTGTATAATCATCTGACCAGGTGACTGACATCATCTGTCAGCTGTCTGAGGACCTCTGGTCTAAGTTTAAACTTCTCATGCCTCCGATTCTCTAGGCCTAAACTCTCCTCCCAGACTTTTCTCCTCCACCTCTCTCATGCTTATCATGGGACCAGATACACTTGAAATTCAGTCCATATTCCAGGTCATGCTCAACTGTTGGTACTACTTTTGCTTTTCTAAAAGTTCCCCAATTTCTCTATCTTGGAGGCGATCTGGTGTGGCAATAAGTCTTCGGAGTTAGGCTTAGGGTTGATTAGCACAAGGTCTCTAAAGAGCTGGCTAGAAAGCCAAAGTAACTTGCCTGAGTTTCAGTCTGTCCATAAAATGAAGGTGACCTGTAATCCCTTCAGAGACTTGTAAATGAGATGTTCTATAAAAAGCAAGACTTCCTTTCTCCAACAAGTACATTTTGTACAATTCTTACAGGACCTAACATAGTTTTTCTAGTAGAAAGTCAATACCTAAGCTTAAAAAACCAAGAAATAGCCAAATAATCATGTTATTTAGAAATGTGAAGATAAAGAGGAAAGAATTAAAGAAATTGCCTTTGGAAGCAGGAAATTAATTAGCTAAGGTGATGATGAATCCATAAGAATCCATTACTGTACATCACTGAGACTTTTAGATTTAAGAATAAGCTTAACTTTTAAAATTATGTTTATTTTAGGGCTGGGGATTTAGCTCAGTGGTTTAGCCGCCTGCTGCGCAAGCGCAAGGACCCAAGTTCAATTCCCAGTACCAAAGAAAAAAAAAAAAAATTGAAAGCATAAAATAATGTTTATTTTGATAAAAATAAAATTATAAAAGGTGAACAAAGACTTATCGACACAATAAAAAAAATTAAATTTGGCACTGGGCTGGGGGTGTAGCACAAGTGGTCAAGCATGTGCTTTGCTTGCATAAGGCCCTAGGTTTGATCCCAATGTTATAGTTTAGATCTAAAATGTCTCCCAAAAGTCTCATGTGTTAAGATGGGGCCTTTGAAACGTGAGCAGATCATGAGGCACTATACTCATCAGTGGATTAATGCACTGCTGAGTTCATAGCTGAATGTGCTGTTAGAAGGCAGGACCCAGTTGGTGGAGCAGATCACTGAGACATGCATTTGGAGGGTGTGTCTCCCTAGCTCTTCCTTGTGCTCTGCTTCCTGAGTGCCATCAAGTGAGCCGCTCTGGTCCATTTCTACCATGTTTCTGCTTTGGAGCTAGCTGACCACCAATTGAACGCTCTGAAACCACGGGCCACAATAAAACTCTCCTCCCTTAAGTTGCAGGTGTTAGGTACTTTGCACCAGGAAAGTGACCAATTCACACCATCACATGCATCTGTGCTCACTCAGGGAAACACACACAGTAAAAAATAAATAAAACTGGGTATTATCCGCATGTTTGTTTCTAAGCTAATGAAAATGTATAAATAAAAAAGAACTATCTCACACTTAATGCAACATCATGCTGATCTCCCAGTGGAGCAAGATTCTCACAGGAATAACATGTTCTTAATAGACCTGGGGCTTTGGTCTTGTGTGTATCTTGCAACAGTTTAATGTACTGATCTTACAGGTCAAACGAAACCAATATTCTATTGCTTAGAGTATGAAGATAAACAATATGACTGATAAGTACAGAAAAAAATCTTATCTCCTTCTTTTCTTTGTAGTGCTAGAGATTAAACCCAAGGGCTTATACATGCTAGACAAACAAGTCTAACACTGAGATATATTCCCAGTGAATCTTAACTTGTTTCAATGTCAAAAATAAAAACAATCATGAACTAGATATCCCAATAATCCAACTCCAGATATATAGCTGAAAGAACTGAAAGCAGGGTCATAAGCAGGTATTTGTTGGCACCTATTCATAGTAGCATTATTCACAATACTCAATAAATGGAAGCAACCCAAGCAACCTTTGACACAGGAACAGATATGTAAATATATACAATGGAGTATTGCTCAGCTTTAAAAAGGAAGAAAACTGACACACAATAAATGTGGATGAACCTTGAGGATATTATGCTAAATGAAATATACCAGTCACAAAAAGACAAATGATTTATGAGCCAACTTATACAAGGTACCTACAGTAATCATATTCAACAACAGTGTAAGACCTTCAGGAACTGGGAGAGAAAAAATGGGGAATTTTTGTCCTATGAGTACAGAGCATTAGTTTTGCAAAATGAAAAGTTCTGGAGTTGGTTGCATAATCCTATGAGTAACTTAACACTACTGAACTAGACTACCTTTAAGACAGTGTTACTTTTACCACAATTATAAAACAAAAACAAGCCAAAATAACCACATGGTTTGAGCATCAGATTATACTGGAAAAAAACCATACAGTTTTCACTGAGAAATGTGGATAGCAAGCATGCTTCAAGTCTATTAAGAACTATCTCTCAGTTCAGCAGCAACTACCTGTACATTTATACAACATGCCCGTCATGGTTCCGGCTGCCACTGTGTTCAGGTCATCTTCTGCACCTCGTGTTTTCTCAATGATAACACCGAATGCACTATATAACAAAGCTAAAGGGAAAATAGAAGTGATCAGTAATAAAAGCATGACTGAAAGTCAGTGTGGCTATTATTTTTAGATTTATCCAAAGATAAATATAGAACAATCACTGGAACAAAACCCTGGTAATGAATAAAATGCTCGTCAAGAGCATTTGCACAATGAATTAATACAGAAGGGGACTTTCCACATAATGGAATAGTATACAGTAGAACTACATCCACTAACATATGAAACAGGCACACATACACACTTGTGCATGACTGTGCCTACAGAAGGAAACATCTGCAGACTCAGAAAAAAACAATAAAAGTTGCTATTTCCGGAAAATGCTACCGGATAGTCCGAAGAATAATATTTTAAATTTTCACTTAAACGTTACCCATAATAGTTGTATTTTGGACTAAATACCCACATACTTCTATTGTAAGAAAAAACATAATTAAAAAGAACGTGAGATGATTTTCCTACATGTAAAACCTGTAACTCTAGCACCATTTGATTTTACATGATCCTCCCCCAAACAACCCTTCCTCTGACTCTGATTCCTATCAGGCATGAAACTGAAACTTTTGAAACTTTCTCTTACCCTTTCTCAAAAGTATAGCTGCATTTGACCCTCCAACAATGTTATACTCAGTCTTCAAGTCCTCTGCTGGGCTATACACGTCTATAAGGGACATCTTTGTGGTCAACTTACTTAACCAAAAGTGAATATGAGAATATTGTGGCTGATCAAGGACAATGAAAACACACAGCGTCACCAGCAGGTGACCAGCTAATCTGGTGAACCCAGGAATGAGGAATTTCTTGCAATGAGGGACTCGCAGTGCTGAAACCAAGAAAGTCTCACGCAAGCAGCATGTGGAAGCAGCTACTCAGCAGAATCCAAAATGCAAATCTGACTACACAGTGCGCAAAGGCACTGTTTCTAAATCCTAGGACAAGGCTAGGATCTTACTATGTCACAACAGAGGCTTTTTTTTAATCTTTTCAATGAGTTGTCTACATTTTCTCGTGTTCTGACAGAGATAAAAAGATAATGAGAAATTCAGCTAAGTTAATAAATTACTAAAACCCTGGATGTCACAACCTATATATATCGTCAATAATAAAAAACCTATCATTCACAAATTGATATGTAATAAAAGCGTCTGGTTCTGACTAAGCACTGCTAAATCACCCTTTGCCTAGAACTGCAAATGTTTTTGTTATCTACAAAGGACCTACTGCAACTCTGACAATGAGGTCCTTGAAATCTACTCAGGTGAACAGATTGCTGAGTAACTATTAGGAAAACACGGCAAAAGGGCAGGACTAATCTGTCACATCTCACACTACAGGACCTTGAACCTTTCCTAACACAGATAACCCTTTGGCCTGTGCCAAAATTACCTGAATTTCAATTTAGTTAAAACACGATTTTATTTGGTGTCCTGCTTGAACACAAGGCAGTTTGTGGTAGCTACATTATTCACCAGAGCAGATATAAACATAATTGTTTCTTATCCTAGAACCAGAATTTTGGGTGACCAAATTATGCACAATACTTGCATGTTTTTTGCATTTATTAGTAAATGAGATTTCTACTTACCTAGAGAACCCAGAGTATTGGCCCACAGTGCCCCTTGCCTAGTCACCATATTCAAAATCCTACCAAGGAAGAAAAAGAAATAATCTGCATTTAGAATCATTATCTCACTAGCAATCTTAAAATACAAACAAACAAAAAAACAATAACAGCTACTTAAAATGCCTAGACACATACCCTGAAGTTTTCTTCATTTTAGGATACCCCTTACTACCTCCTCAGATTTCAAAAGATAGTTTTTACTCTATACAGATAAGGGTTAGGTTAAAATTTTCAGCACTTTAGGCAATGACTGAGAAAAATTCCTTGTTAAATTCTCTTAAATATAAAAAGTATTAAATGTATATTATAAAAGTTTT